ATACCATACCATACCATACCATACCATACCATACCATACCATACCATACCATACCATACATACATACATACATACATACATACATACATACATACATACATACATACACTTAGCGCGTTATATATAGTAGGCTCACATGGTAGGAACCTTGCTAGAAAGGAATCTTCAGCACTGAAGACAGACTCCTTAATACACTACGTTGATCCAGTAGGGAAATAGATGGAAAAAGAGGTTGGCGAGAAATAGCAGTTGGCGATATTGAACACCGACTGGCCTTTTTTGAGTGTTTATTCTCAACAGCAGCAATTCTCGAAGTGTCTATGCCCAAACAGTTGCTTTTGTTTGAGCGTTTTTGCGAGGTACTGTTCCGTCAACACCGTGCAAACTCTTCAATTTCGTTCAAGTGGACACCTTTAACAGGTCTCAGTTGCGACTATGAAATTAGACCAGCATGCAATTCACTAACTGATGGAAAAGGAAAATGCGCCGTAAGGAAGAAAAAACTACTAGTAGGGAATACAACCTCGTCTTCAGATATAGTAGGCTTCATCGTGGCTTCAAACTCATCCATCTCGGTAATTATTCCGGTAAGAACATCACACGAAGCGCTGAATTAGGTTAAGTTTCACTGAAATGGCTGCAACTTCAAAAAAAAAACTGAAAACACCCAGCTTAAACACGAAGTTCACACAAGAGTTCAAATAAAAGCAATCGAGCAACGCTAGTTCAGATAAAAACTATTCTATCAAAAGTGTGAATACAGTGAAGATTCAGAACTATCCTACGGAAAGGAAGCAGGGTGTAGTTGGGAGTTTGGATCAAAATCTACATACCCATTCGAAATAGGTAAAACTTTTATGATAAGTGCATGATCTAGACTACTACTCTCGATTATTTTCAGTTGCGATTCAGACCGTGACTGACTGAGAGATCGAAAATAACAACAGTATTAGAAGCAGATATTTAGGCTGACTCTCCTTTTTCGGAGTCTGTAAGGTCGCAAGAGATTCACCTTCACGAATCACAAAGGAAAATAATGTTGTTTATATCGAGTTCGAAGAATTTGTAGGGAATACAATAGAAGTTGCAAAGACCATGATGAGATTGATTGAAAGCCGATCATGAATAACAATGCCGTGATCAAAAACAATAGATTTTCCTTTAAATCTAATTTACATCACTTCATATTCCCGCACGGTGGCGGTCAATTGCAATTTTGAAGTGTGATATAGGTTATGAGATTGGATCACAAGTAATGAATTACAGAATATGAAAACAGCCGATAAAACCCGGTAAGAAATTAATTGAATTTGGTTCCAGCCCATCTAGTATATATTTACAATGTTCAGGTTGATGCATAACTATTGCGGATTTTTTCTCGGTGATAGGAATTATCTTTTCGCTCTCCTCAACACGTTGACGACAATGTCGCGCAATGGTGCGCGACAGCCAGTCTGTCCCATTGGACGATGTCGCTCAATGCTGCGCGACGGTGCATTCTTCACTTAAAATGTGTGTGCCCGTTCCATTTTTTGTACCGATTTTCAATTTACGCTTATAAGTGTCTAAAATAGCACCGGCCACCTATTAAATTAATTCCAAGTCCGATACTTCATTTTTCTCTGCAACTGACAATCAAGAATTGTTTGGAAACAATCTAGGCAACAATTTTTTTTACATTTACTGCATTTTGACTTAGTCCTCTTGGCCAGGCTCCTCGCGGTCGACCTGCCTGATGCTGCAGAGATCGAAATATAGCAGTCGGAGCAAAATAGTCTATCCTTAGCCTTCGCATTTGGACCAGCCACCAGCTTCCGCTTGCGCGTTCTCGAACTGCTTGTCGGCGTGTCGTTGAAGTTCTTGTAGAGCAAGTCGTCCATAGTTAGCTCTTCGAAGTAGTCCATCTTGATTTTCTTGACCTTCTCGCAATATAAATATCGTCGATCGCAATATCGTCGCCATCTGAACCATCTGCAGCATGGCATCAACCGTCGCTGTCGAGCAGCATGTTGCATTTCGATATCTCAGGACAAGGACAGGGTTGCAAGGGCAATAATACTCTCAGAGATCCTCAGAGATTTATATGCCCCTAATTCAAACTTACCACCGCCAAATTTGAAATTACCCCGAGTAGCCACAAATGTTGGGTAAAATTTGAATATTGCTGGATGGTTTGCGAAATTCTCTGGTACTTACCCACTTTGCGATCTCAACAACTTTTCGCCGATGGATTAGTCGTCCAAAGCCATGTGAGGAATGAGATTCGCTTCTG